GAGAAATGGAGGAGACAGATTATTGGGGAAGTATCGAGAAAGGTCGCACAAATTCAAAATGGTTAGTAATAATTTTTTTTCAATGATTTGATTAAAGGTTTCAATTCAACATCAGTCAGATTTCTGTGACGTGAAAAAAGAAAATTTCCCATTTATTAATAATATTTTATTATAAAATATTAATTTACAGCTGGTTTAGGAGAGTTTAAAATTAGGGATCTGAATGATGAAATTAACAAACTACTCCGGGAGAAGAGTCACTGGGAGACAAGAATAGTGGAGCTAGGGGGTCCAGATTATGCAGTGAGTATACTTAGTTGTATGAATATGATTTTACTTTCAGATTAATATATTGAGAAATACAAGGATAATTAATCATGTTTACCTGACCTGTTTTATTAAATGTTTTGATCTTGTTTCATGCTGTGTGGCACACTTTCAAATGTTGTGTACTTCCACATTCCATCATTAGGATGGAGTTTGTTGTTATAGTAATGATACTTCATATTTAAAGGGGAATATTTCTTATTCTTTTCATTGCAGAAAATTGGTCCAAAAATGCTTGACCATGAAGGAAAGGAAGTTCCGGGAAACAGAGGATATAAGTATTTTGGTGCTGCTAAAGATTTACCTGGAGTCAGGGAACTTTTTGAACATGAACGTAGGTGTCTTTTGCACTCCAACAGTTTCTTTTTGCATTTTGCTAATTCTTTTGTTTGTTTGTTTTTCCCTTCGTCTGTTCGTCCGTCCGTCCGTCCATTTATTTATTTATTTATTTATTTATTTATTTATTCATTCATTTATTGAATTGAATTCATTCATTCATTGAATTGAATTCATTCATTTATTCGTTCGTTCATTCATTCGTTCATTTATTTATTTATTTATTTATTTATTTATTTATTCATTTATTCATTCATTTATTGAATTGAATTCATTCATTCATTGAATTGAATTCATTCATTTATTCATTCGTTCATTCATTCTTTCATTTATTTATTTATTTATTTATTTATTTATTTATTTATTTATTTATTTATTTATTTATTTATTTATTTATTTATTTATTTATTTATTTATTTATTTATTTATTTATTACTCATTGATCATTGCTGCTGGCAGCATAAATATTAGAGCACAGAAATAACACACTGATTACATGGCAAGGTAAATACTAGATTAAAATGCCTGTGAAATGCTCGCCTACACATTTACATGTTTGGTTTCTGTTGCCCTGAAATGAACATTTGTAAAAAAAAAAAAATTAAATAATAAATCGTCTTCAATTGAAATTAAAAAAACAAAAAATCTGAGCTAAAGCTTGTCAAATCTTCCATCATGACAGCATCCCCCAAATGCTTACTGTGGTTGCTTTGATCACCTAGCTAACAATATGATCAACTAACAACACAGCTGTATTTTCAGAAAGCCAGTAGATTGTAAACTGATTTTGAAGCTACACTCCTGGCAACACAGCTGTATTTTCAGAAAGCCAGTAGATTGTAAACTGATTTTGAAGCTACACTCCTGGCAACACAGCTGTATTTTCAGCTAATTAGCATACTAGGTGAACAAAACAAATTCCTGATCACAGTAATAACCAAATACATTACAGTACAAAGACAGTGAAACCAGCCCGCCTGAAACAATCCAGATACAGTACAGGTTTTATAATGGTTCCTACTATATTTGTAGCTGCCGCACCACCTAGAAAAACAAGGGGAGAGCTGATGAAGAATATTGATGCTGATTACTATGGTTACAGAGATGAAGATGATGGCGTGTTAGTACCGCTTGAAATGGAATACGAGAAAAAATGTAATAATACATTGCCAGAGCAGTACATGTTTTATAGATTATCTTCAATATAATCATCAAAAACCTAAAACTTAGAAACTAGCATAGTGAAACTGACTCAGTCAGAAATGTTATTTGTTTTCATTCTAGTAATAGCTGAAAGAGTAGGAGATTGGAAATCACAGAAAGAAGCTTTGTTGTCAGGGGATACAGGGATGAAAGATGTGGAAGAGGAGGAGGAAGATATTTATGCAGTTGCACCAGAACCAGATGTAAGTATTGTTTCCATCCCAGATGTAGAATATGTTTGTTTGTATTGGTTTAACTGCTCCATGGTTTAACAAATTGCACTCTCTAGGCATGTAATTATTTGCACATGTATAACGTAAGAAAACTAGAAGGACTCTGAGAATACAAGCCTATAGCACAAAAATTCTTATTCCATGGCAACCAGATTCAGATCTGTCCCCAAATCTGGTTGATGGCAGAAAATAAATAACCTTATTGGCAGTGGTAGAAACTTGCTCATCTTGTAAATTACAGACAAATGGAATTAAGGATAAGTATTAGACAGAAAACTGTAACCATGACAATGGAGAATCATTTGTACATTTTTCTCACCATGTTGTTAAATTTTTTGAACTTTCAGTCAGATGAGGAAAGTTCGACTGCCATGGAAACTGAAGATGGTCAA